ATGACTTTTATATAGTAAAATTCATCATACATCACATTACCATTATAGTCAAAATGAAACGCCAACAAATTTCTCATGATCTTTTATCAGGGATCTACTTAATATCCAGGACAACTTAGGCCTAATTATAGCTTACTAAGCTTTAACTATATATACAATAATATTATGATCAACAAATCACAACTTTTTTTTCGCATTTAGCATGATTTTCTTCACTTTTTATTGCTATTAATATTAATATCAATTATTACTGTCGTCATCATCATCATTGTTATTATTATTATTATTACTATTAGTAGTAAACAAACATTTAAAGAAACTTGCAAAAGGATAAAAACGAAATTGAACCACAGTATCGCATTTCTATCTTAAAAGACCTGGCCTGAGATTTATGGATTTAAGATTTTTTTAAATCACGCTTAGGCCTATGTATAACGTGTACTGATGCATATTTACATGTTTAGAAGTATTCATTTTGAGTGATCCCAGGAAAGAATTTGTATTGGCTCAAGGATAAGCTTTAAAATTTTAACACTGTGTACAAAGGGGGGGGGGGGGGGGCCCTGGATACGTCCCTGCAACGATGTCATGCTAACAGATCTTTTTCATTCAAACATTACAAAAACATCCAAAAGCCAACAAACTGAACAGAAAATACAGATCTACAATTCCATTAACGAGGAACTTCTACAAATCAAAGCACTTAGCACATTACAAAAAGATAACCTATCGTTAAATACCACCCTGGTTTATAGCCGTAAACATGAAAGAGAACACATCTATGTCATTACCAATGACACATACGACTACAGATTCAGTGTTGCTGATGGCTGAGGCTATCGGCACTGCCGCAGTGCGAAAAAAGGCTGCTGTTTTCTATCGGCACTGCCGCAGTGCCATAAAGCTGCTGTTTTCTATCGGCACTGCCGCAGTGCCAAAAAGCTGCTGTTTTCCTATGGAACGCCGGGACTGTCATTCTGGACGACCTTCGGTGCGACTTAATCGTTAGGCGGCGACTTTGTATTCGGCACAAATAGCATTCGGCTGAGACTTTTTCATTAGGCGGCGACTGTGTGTTCGGCCCAAATCGCATTCGACTGCAACTTTAACATTAGGCAGCTTCAATCTCATTTGGCGACTGTTCGTTCGGCTACTTTTTATTTGGCACCTTAAATTTTTAATGAAAACAACGACTGTTCCAGAAGACTAGACCTAGGCCTAGCTTTAAATGCCAAAGAAAGCACGTATGTTACTGTACCTCATCTCCGTTTTGGAAAATTATGGATGAAGACCTTATTTCCATTTTGAACGAACTTTCACTAACACATTTAATAGACGTTTTTACGAGAGAAAAGGTTCTACGCCAAGTTATTTCTTTATTAATGCTCACGAAGGAGGATGGGTCTAGGCCTAGGCTAGGCCTAACTATGGCTAGCCTAGGCCCTAGGCATTATGAATGTATGTGTGTGTTCATTGTTTTATTTGTTTAAAACGTGTTTAAGCTAGAAAAGACAGCAGGAGTAATAGTAAATACAGTAATTCGCTGTTTTTATCATTTTCTTGGAAATGAAAAAAAAATTTAATAACTGATATCAAACCCTATTTTATTAAATCAATTTCATTTTTGTAACTGATTAAAAAATAACAGATTACTCTGGCCATAATAAATGAACTGTCAGAAGAAGAGTTTCAGCAACTGGGATTAGATGATGGACAGCGAATTATTTTGAAAGAGAAATGTCAGAGACGAATGGAAATTGGCCAACCAGGTAGTGAACATCAAATCATTAAACGTTTGTTAGAATCTGGTTATAATGTAGACTCAATTGCAGATCACCTGCAATTAAGCAAACGAACAATATTTAGGCGTTTAAAAGACATGGGAATTTCTGCTCGTATGTACAGCGACATTGACAATGGTAATTTAGATGAAATTGTTCATGATATTTTATTGAATCACCCCAATACTGGAGAAGTCATGATGAAAGGGTATTTAAAACATAGAGGAATAACTGTTCCTAGAAAAGATTTAAGGAATTCAATGAGAAGAGTTGATGAAAACGGAGCAGATCACAGACTAAGAAGACGTCTACACAGGCGAGTCTACACTGTAGGGGGACCAAACCATCTGTGGCACATTGATGCCAATCATAAACTGATAAGGTTTGTTTGACAAAATGTTTATATATTTTTATCATTCTAACAATTCACTATTTAAATATACCCATTCAGGAAACCAGAGAAAACTTCAATTATCATGCATGGAATTAAATGATTGATTCATAGATTTTAAAAATATTTTGAGGTTTTTACTTTTTCTGCAGTACTGGTAGTAACTTTCTTTCATCACCATTTAAATTAATATCTAGCCATAGGTCAAAAATTATAAAATTGTTTTGTTTAATAACAAAGTGAACCCTAATAAATTTCATGGTTTTTTATAACATTAATTCTAGGTGGGGATTTATTATTCACGGAGGAGTTGATGGATTAAGTCGTCTTCCAGTCTACATGAAATGTTCTACCAACAATAAAGCCATAACTGTTATGGAATCATTCCAGAAAGCTGTAGAGTGTTATGG